GTGTTAAACTGCCTGCTTGGATGGGATCACATCCAATGCACACAGGATGTGGACACCTGTATAGATCTGCCAACTATCAGCACTCCCCGTCTGAAGGCAGAGTGGACCAAGGCCCAAAAACTGGCGGTGATAAAGAGCAGGAGCCAAAACCACAGCCAAGAAACACACATGCTCTGAAAAGGCAGACCCAAGAGGGGCCATGTAAAATCGTTCCTGGAATATGTAAAGTAGTTTATGGATATGCGTGAGGTTCTATGAATATGCAACAGGCTGATGTAAAGGAAAGGTATTTCAGGGGGATCCCCAAAGATAACAGGGTGCTCCTGGCTGAGTGCCAAGATGCACCTGACCGTAATAACCTTTGCTCCATGGTCCTGGTCTCCCATTATCCATTATTAAACTTTGTACATTTTAACAGGAGAGTGAACGTGTTTTTCCCTGTGAAAAATGCCAATCATTTGTTTTTACAATTTTAAAAGCTTAATAGTAGTAAAATGGTTATAAAAATAGTAACACAATTAGAGTAATAACGATTTGGACAAATTGAATTAGGACAATATGAGGCAATAAAAACAAAGGCTTACGGACGTCTGGGTACCTTTTTCTGGGCATCACGAGCCCAAAAAAGGACACCCGTTAATAAAGCATTAACCCTCAAAAACAATAGCCTGTTGCATATTCATGCACTTCATACATGATGCATAAATTCCATTCAAACACAGGATTCTGTCTGGTCAGTGTCAACTTCTTCCCTCTAATCCTAATAGCGCCTTTGAGGCTGGAAGAAGTTAGTTTCTTCTGATAAGAAGGCAATAAATTCTTTTTCTCTTAAAGATCTAGGTGTCCTGTGGCTGCTATCTTGCTGCAAGTCCTTTCTTTTAAACAATGCATCTTACATAGCATAGTTTCTATTTTAACAATTTTTATAACCTAAAACTATATTTAACACAGTACTTAAGAAAATTAATACAGCATTGCTTTCTAACACAACACGTATAATATTCATTTTAATATTTCCGAAAAGCCAATCATAAAATATATGCATTTTTCACACGGGGGATGACCCAATGAGACATCCCTGGGGGTGGGAGGGATTTTGACATTTTGTGAGCTATCTGAAGGGGGATCCAGGGAGAAGAGGTACTGAAGAATGGGTTAGGGTAGAATCCAGGCCGGTGTGATCAGTACAGACCTGGACAGGGGGTAGAGAAGGAGAGGAGATGGCAGACAGCAGGTGGCTCGTCTGTGCTTTAGAGCAGTTTCTGTCTCTCATCTTAATCTTGGTATCAGTGGGTTCAGGAATGCTGGGGGCAGAGCACAAAATCTAGGTTGAATATTAGAACTTTGAACCCTTGAGAAAACTCTATAAGTCATGTGAAAAATTGGGTAAAATTTTGTGACTCTTACCACTCCCTGAGTTTGCAAAAGAAAGAGTCTTCCCCCTAACTGAGTCCCAAAATGCTCCATGAAGAACTGAATCAACAGAAATGTCTGGGAACTCCTTAAAGAGCCAATGAACAAAAGGCTTCCAACTTCCCTTAGTAAAAGTGTTCCCCTCTGAAAGGAGAACCTCCCTAACTGGAACATATATGTCCCTCTCAGCTTTGGATAATTGGTTACCCATAGCTGCCCCTTATGTAAAGGGTCGCCCACCCACAGGACTAAAATATCACCCAAGGATCCTGCACTGCACTGTCCCGCAACTCACTGCTCTGGCGCTCTGGATGCGGGTGTTTCAAAATGTTCCATGGGCTTCACCAGCTGAGCTGGCCCTCCTGCCCCTTGAGGGTGCCAACGCTGCCTTCAGCAAGCCCTGATAAAACTCAGGTCCCACTCCAGGGCGGAGGCTGACCCGAGGCGTTTTTCTATCCAGTGACAGTGGAACAGCCGGATCATCACTGGAGTCGCTCTCAGGAATTTTCAAAGATGGTCCCTGTTTGGGCACCACTTTTTGCGGCATGTCCACAGCCAGCCTCTGTGAGACACCTGCACTGCCAGAGCTGGGAGCAGGCTCGCTTAAACTGCTGATGAATGAGGCAAGAGAGGGGTCTTTGTGTGGAATTCCAAACACTGTGGATTGTGCTGAAGAGGGTCCAGGGCCAGAGACAAAATGGCGCTGGGAACACAGGGTTTATATGGGGGATAAAAGGGTCTTATATGCAGCAACCCAGGACCAACAGGGGAAAAGACAGGTGAGAACAACTTGGGGGAGTACATATAAAGAAAAAAAGAAGTTCATGATACCAAGAAACCCTGTTGAATCCCCAAAGGCCTGCAAAAGCCTTTGGGCAAGATTATTGCATTTAGAGGAGTGTCTCACTTTAATTCATTATCTTTGCCCTTAGGTACTGCGGTTCCAGTGGTAGGCCCCTGGACCTCCACAAAACTACTACTTCCTGAGACTTCATTGCTGGGTGAGGAGCTCAGTTGTGCTGAAAGCAGAGGCCTGTCCCGGCAGCTGTCACCCGAATGGGGCCCAGGGGCCAGTGACCACTGCCAGCAGCAGGAATGCGGGCATGGCGAGGATGCCCTGGCTTGGCTTTTGTCTCTTGAGCAAGGCGGGCTCAGGGCAGTGCAGAGCAGGCTGGGAAGCAGAGCCCAGGGCCTTTGGAGGCTGCAAGGCTTAAAGATCAGCCCCTGCAGCAGCCCAGATGCCGGTGCCCCAGTTGCCAAGGCTGTGGTGGCCTTGAGAGCGTGCAGGTGGATTTTGCATGGCTGTGGCCTGCTGCCGGCTCTGGGCCCAGGAGTCCCTGTGGCTGCAGCAGGAAGGGTGGCTGAAGGTTTGCTGGCTGCTTTGGTGGCATGGCTGCAGGGGCCAGTGCTGTGAGAGCCCCCTGTGTGAGAGGTGGTGAGAGCTGAGCTCTTGGGGACAGCGCTGTGCCCCAGGCCAGGAAGAGCAGCAGTGCCCAGTGGCAGGAGTGGTGTCAGTGGGAGCCCCTGTGAACAGGGACCCCCAGCCCCAGGGTGCCTGTGCCAGCACCCCCAGGGACCTCCAGCCCTGCGAACTCGGATGAAGAGGAACCCACAAGTGTGCAAACGCTGCCTGCGCCCAAAAGAATGGCAAAAAGTAGAGATGTTTTAAAAAGAAACAGTATTTATTTGCTGAAGATCGGCAAAAGCTCGGATTTACAGAACATGTTTCATTATAACAATCCTTATAACAACAACAACAACAATGTACAGAACGTATTTACATGGGATCTGATGGACTAACAATCTTCAAACGTATTTACAGAAAACTTCTAATATACTGAACGTATTTACAAGCAACTTCCAAACTTTGAAAAGTATTCACAAAGGCATCCCAACTGTGCCATCGTCTGCATCAGTCCTGGAAGAAAGGAAGCAGCAGAGCTGGACTCAGCTGGCAGCACTGGGCCCAGCAGGGCTGGGAGCTGGGCCCCAGGGGCTGGGCCGGGGCTGGCAGGGCTGGCGTGGCCCCAGGCAAGCGCAGGGCAGGCCGGGACTGGTGCTTGTGGCAGCACAATCCAGACCCCCTTTGTCGCAGACATTTTTACACAGAAATCCTTTCTTTCAGATTTCTGTATCTTCTGGGAAGCAACGGGCCCCAGAAGACAAGGTAAACAATTGTTATCCGCTGCTGTGGAATGCAACAGGGGCCTCTGTCATTGGTCTCATGTGCATGTTTATAATTAAGGGCCAATCATCAGTGCAAGCTAGGGAACTGAGTCCCTGGACACAACTTTGTTTGAGATTCTTTCTTTTCTATTCTTAGCTTAGCAAGCATCTGCAACTTCTCTCTTTATTCTATTTAGTATAGTTATAATGTATTTTATATCATATATCAATAAATCCAGCCTTCTGATCAAGCAACAAGATTCACCGTCTCTCTCTCACCAGCAGCGACCCACTCAGGCGCTGTAACATCTGGTGACCCCTCGTGTCAGAGCAAAAATTAATTTGATAAGACCAGAGGAGCAAAATTGCTGCACTGGGTAAAAATCCTGTATGTGTAGCATTTGATGGTTGCTTTGAAGCGACCACAGAAGTGGACTCAAGCCAGGAGCTGAACTGAAGATCCTGATTTGGACAGAGTTCACAGCCAAGGCTGACCACAAAGAGAACCTTCTTCTGGAAAATCTTCAGGAAAGATGATGGAAAAGAGCAGCAGACCTGTGGAGCTGGCCAGAGCAAGCTGGACTCTTTCAAAAGGTACTGTGGGCTTTTCTATCCCTGATGAACCAGCCCTTCGTAGCTTGTGGCTGTTTGTATGGCAGACACATGCCTTGCCAGAAGAGATTCAATTCTCCCCTTCAGAGGAGAAACTTATAGCCCTCTGGAACCATTGGTCTAGAGAAGATGGTTGCTTTTTGTCAGAAACAGATCTCTATAAATTCTTTAGATGGGCAAAGCTTTTTGGGTTCTTTACTGATGTCCTGTACGCTTTAGATGCTTTTGTCTGGGAGTGCATGGACTCCATTTTCCAGTTCGTCTGGAGCCAGGGACATGTCCTGCCTTCTATCTACCCAGCATTTATAAAGCTTTTTCCAGTGCTGAAACGCAGAGCAGCTACCTTTCAATGGATTTCTAACTGTTATGGGCAGGGTCCCTTTCCACCGTCCCCGGTGGAGGATGACTTTGGGCTTTTCCCCCCGCCCTGCTTCGCGGCGGGGGGGGCTGAAACTTCGCTGGGCGAAGAAGTTTTTTTTACTCTTGCTCCGGAGCATGCTCAGATGGAGTTTTCTCCTTCCCCCCCTTCTCTCTCTCCGGGGGGATGGGAGTGGCCGCTCAAGCCAGCGCCGGCCTCTCAGACTCCGCCTTCAGACATGGGGGCGGCACCGGTCTCTGAGGTTTCTCCGGTCCTGCCAGCTCCGCCTCTCCAGGAGATCCCGTCTCCGCCTCTCCAGGCTGTTCCGCCCGCGGTTTCACCGGCCTCCCCGCCCCCTGAGCTGTTGCTAAGCAGCGACGATGCTCCGCCGCCGCTTCTCCCGGCTCCACTGTTGCCTATGCCGTGCCTGCCGCCGCTTCCTTCGGCCTCCTCACCGCCTCAAGCCAAGACAGTCCTTGTTCAGGACGATGTTGGAGACGGCCCCGAATCCGCGGGACCCTCGGGACCCTCGGGGCGGCCCGCGGCGGATCCCACGCTCAGCGTGATTCCCTCCCCGGTTCCGGCTTCCCCCCCGCTGCTTCCACTGGCTGCTGTAGCAGCTGCCCCGGCGGGGGGTCTCTCCTTCCGTGGAGGAGGCGTGGCTCGGCAGCTGGGTGCGGGCGCAGCCCGGCTGCCGGCTTTCAAGCTCGGTGGTTTGGGGGGTGGTGTTTCGGTTGCTGTCCCATGGAGGCTGCCGCCTCTCCTGCGTCCTAGTGGCATGGGGGGGCAGGTGCATCCCGAGAGCCCTGCCTCTGATCCCCAGCCCGGAGGGGATGGGGATGGTGATGCCACGGGGCGGATGAGAGACAAACCCGATGCATTGCAGGGGAAGATGGCACAGCTGGAGGAGACCATAGCTGGTTTGCTGTGGGAAACAAACATCTCCAGACCCCAGATGGGATTGCTGGGGAAGGCTTCTATTTCCTCACTGCTGGCATGCCTCAGTGGTTTTGGGGAAAGGAAGCATCTCACTACCCGTGCTGCCACTGTGCTGGCAGCAGGGTTCAGGCCTGCGGGAATGCAGAGCCTCTGTCATGGGTTTGGCCTGAGCCATTGGGCTGAGAAAGTTTCTGGGCCAGGGCCAGCATTTGGCCTCCTGATGTTTCTGGGGGTTGTGGTCTATCCAACAGGCCCTGGTCCCCCTTTGTGAGCCAGTTTTGGGGTTCCTGGTCCAGCATGGGCCAGGGCCCCCAGGGCCTTTACTTCTCTGGCACTGCTCTGCTCGGCTGCTGCTCTTTTGCTTCTCGAAAAAAAAAAAAAAAAAAAAAAAAAAAAAAAAAAAAAAAATTTAAATTAAATAAAAAAGATTGAAAATAGCGGGCAGCAGCTCTGAAGCACTGAAGCATTGAAGGGTCAGAAAAGGACGTTCCAAAGTTGTTCAAATTGTTTGAAATTGTTTGAAATTGTTGTAGGACTGTCAATGGGTTTTTTGATAACTATTGATAGGATTCCTTTTGCAGCAAGTTTGTTTTCAGGACCGAAAAGGACTCTCAGATGTCCAAAAGAAACAACTTCAGCTGATGGACTGTTCCTGAAACTCAGCTGCATGGACTTGAATTCTCTTTGCATTGTTTTTTGCATTTTCTTAGATTGTAGGATTGTTTTTAGTGATTTGTTAGTATTGTATATTTTACAGGTGAAGAAATTTCCTGTTCATTCCACATCAGCATTTTTCTTTTATTTTATACAATTTAGAAAGGTGAGATGTCGCAGACATTTTTACACAGAAATCCTTTCTTTCAGATTTCTGTATCTTCTGGGAAGCAACGGGCCCCAGAAGACAAGGTAAACAATTGTTATCCGCTGCTGTGGAATGCAACAGGGGCCTCTGTCATTGGTCTCATGTGCATGTTTATAATTAAGGGCCAATCATCAGTGCAAGCTAGGGAACTGAGTCCCTGGACACAACTTTGTTTGAGATTCTTTCTTTTCTATTCTTAGCTTAGCAAGCATCTGCAACTTCTCTCTTTATTCTATTTAGTATAGTTATAATGTATTTTATATCATATATCAATAAATCCAGCCTTCTGATCAAGCAACAAGATTCACCGTCTCTCTCTCACCAGCAGCGACCCACTCAGGCGCTGTAACACCCCTTTAGGCACCATGTCCCTGAGCGGGGCCATCCAGTCCAGCCCCAGCCTGGCATCAGGGGACCCAGTGTGTGTGTGGGCAGGGCGTGGGAAGCATCTGCCTGTCTTACCTGTGGGGCTCCATCTTCATCCAAGGACCATGGGCTCCTCCTCATCCTTCTCGTCCACTTCCATTACCTCGATGTCATCCTCCTCATCAACCTCCATCTCTTCTATGTTGTCCCCCTCCTCTACTTCCATGTCCTCAACAGGATCTTTCTCGTCCACCTCCATCATCTCCTCCCTCTCCAGCTCCATGTCCACTTCCATTTCCTCCACGGTGTCTCTGGCACTCTGCAAGGGGCAGCACAATCTCCCAGTGGGCTTCCTGTCCCCCACCATCCATTCCCACATGGCTGCAGCCTGCCCAAGCCAGGTGCCCCCTGCCTGGCATGGCACTGTACCTCCACTGGCACAGCAGTGCACATCCTGCTGCGATTGGCACTCCAGAGTAGGCGGCAGGAAAAGCCCAGTCAGCAGCAACACCTCAGCAGTGAGGGGCAGAGCACACAGCGAGCGGCAATTGACCCTTGGCAGCCAGTGAAGTGTCTGCTCTGCTCGTTTCCAGGTCCTGGACATTCCACCTGGAACCCTCTGGGAGCTGTGATGTCACTGAAATTCCATGCCCACTGCGTAGTGGGAGATGGGGATGGCAGAATGATCAAATCCTTGAATGGTTTGGCTTGGAAGGGACCCTAAAGCTCATCTGGTTCCAAGCTGAGCAGCCTCCCAGCACACCAGGTTGCTGTGGCCCCTGTCCAACCTGGCCTTGGATGTTCCTGGGGATGGGGCATCCACAGCCTCTCTGCACTGGTCCCTGTGTCCGGGACAAGCACCCTGTGAGTAAAGAACTTCCCATCATCAAATCTCTTCCACCTCTTGCAGTTTGATCCCATTCCCCCTTGTCCTGTCACTACACTTCCTGACAAAGAGTCCTCTCCCTCTTCCCTTTGGGTTAGTGTCATGGTTTGGGCCTGGCACAGAGCCAGTGCCCCCATGAGAATACCCTCTCCCTGGTGTCTGCTGTGAGATGTGACCAGGAATAAGCAAAGCAGGCTCCAGCTTAGAAAAAAAGAAAACTTTATTACCTAAACTACAAGAGAAGAAGGAAGAAAACTATAAGGGAAAAAATTGAAAACCTTACAAAAAGCACTTTCCTCCTCCCCACCACCAATATTTCCCAATCCGATACATTCCCCCAAATCACCAACTGCCCAGTCTGGCACCACCCTTTAGGATATTCAAACTTCAGTCCATGAAGAGGAGAGGAGTCCTTCTTACACCACAGGCTTCCCCTGGAAACACGCTGAAACCTCGTGTGCTTCCATGTCACTCAGCACTGCCCAGAAAGTCCTTTTGCCATTTGTGACATCTTCCTTCCATGCCCAGTGCTCTCACCACTGTGCATGGACCAGAGCTGCTTTTAGGGTTGTCTTTTAAGGATGGCTTGTCTCACTCCAAAAAGGCACAGTCTCTGCTTTGGGACATCTGTCCCCCCCATTTTTATCCAACCCCCTGGGGCCGAGGGGTCCCCACAATGAACCCTCCTGGTTCTGAGGCACTGCCTCCCCCTAAATGCAGTCTCTGTGCCACAGGAATAAAACTGGTTCAGTCTATGGCTACACAAGAAGAGTCCAGCCAAAAGGCCACTCCAATCATCTCTCTCTCCACTCAGCAAGCCTTCTCCATGTCCTTCGGGCCAGATCCTTGTCTCATCTCATCTCTTATCTCCCGTCTTATTCAGCTCCGAGGAGGATCGGTATTTTTTTGCAAGGCCCCAATCATGAAAGAAAAGGGTTAAAAATTTCAGTCTCTGTCTGTCCCAGAACTCCGGCACTCCCACACTTGCTGCTGCTCCGGCCGGGCACCTCCTCCCTCGCTGCATTCCCCCCCTTTTCCCCTCCTGGGCCGGCTGCTATCACATTCGTTGTCGCCAGCTCTCCCTCTCTCTCTCCGGGGGGGAATGGCTGCCTGACGTCTCTTGGGGCTCCTCCACCCTTCCATCCTCCAGGGCCTCCTCACCCCCCATCTCTGTCCAGGCCCAGGCGTACCACATGGCTGCCCCTCCCCTGCCCAGCAGCAGCGGCTGGACGGGGGAAGGGAGATCCGATCTCCGTCCCTCGAAGTCCCAAGAGAGCCTCCCAGGGCCGAAGCTCTGCTTTTAACCCCTGTGTTTTCTCGGAGGTGTGTCCAGATCCCACTGGCCACATCAGGTGCCAATATCAAAATCCGAGCACCCATTGGTTTGACCACAGCATCCCAGAATTCTCGCTTCTTCCTGGTCAAACCACCACACATGCTAAACGGGCTGTGTGTTTGTTTTGATGGTGGAGAGGGTCAGAGATGCAGACACAGACACCAGCTGAAGGAACAGTGTAATTTACTGTAATGCACAAATGCAAAAAAGAGTCAGGAAAGGATAAGCTAAGCAATGCACCTCAGCATTATTACAAAAGGGTGCCTCTGGTGATTTAGGAAGATCCATCACCAGGTAGCCCAATGGTTTCCCCTTCATCCAGAGCTGCACATCAGCTGGGGGAAGCTGTCCCAGCCCAGCCCTGCAGAGCCACGGCCGGGAACCGGGAAATCCTGCGGTGCCTCCACCTTTGGCGGCCACGAGGCTCCCGAGAGCGCTGTGAGAGTAGCCCGGCTCTGACAGTGCTGGACGAGCAATGTGCCAGAGCTTCTGCTGGGGGCACAGCTGGTGTCATTCTCCTCTTGGTTTTCTCCCCAGGGCTGGCCAGGGCTCAAGGAGGAACCAAGGCCAGGTGTGGCCTTGTCCATTTTCCTCATGCAGAAAGGTGAAGACATGTTTCACCAGTGGATGGATGCAACAATCCTTTTGATAATAACACTTGGTTAAGGAGCAGATACATAGAATATTGGGTTGGAAAGGTCACCTAGAGGGCAGCTTTGGCTCAGGTCCTGTTGTTGAGGCTTCAGTCAGGGTCTGTTGTTCAGGCCTTAGTCCTTCAGTATTTTGTGGTGCAAATCACACCTGTGCAGAGCTGAAAACAAACAAGTCTGTCTTTAGCACATTTGAGACAGGGAACAGGATTAGCCCTGCAAGGCCAGGCTGAGGCCAAGAGCAGAAGGCCAGCACCCTGCTTTTGCCCACAGGCAGCCCTGCAGAGCAAGCAGCCCCTCCTGCCCAGGGGCTGAGGTGCCCGAAGCTGCCTCTCCGCTGTGCAGCTCTGCAGAGCCCGCGGGGCGCAGGGTCCTGGGCAGCCAGGGCAGCCCGGCTGCCTTGGGGCACAAGGAGTGGCCCAGAGAGAAGCTGCTGCCCTTTGCTTTGGAACTGCTCCTCAGAGTCTTGTCATTAATCCACAGTGTCTGTCGTGTTTTCCTTTCCTCTCCCAAATTTAACACAGCTTTTTGAGAAAACTGACAGATGTAGCTGCTGCTGCTGGTGGTGGTGCTTTTGTCTGCAGGTGAGGGCAGGTGATTTGGACCAAGGACAGAGTCCATTGTTAACACCCCAGCTTTGCCAAGTCAAGAA